GCAATTACTATTAAAATTAAATTATATTAATTGCTATTTTCACTAATCACTGATGTTTCATCAGAGATTGTAATAGTAACATTTACCCAATTTTAATTATACAATTATAAAGAAAAAGTATCATGTTCTTTAATATCTACATTATTTTCTTTTCATGCAGTTCATTAAGAAATTTAAATAAATTTTGTTCAAAACAATATATTTAACATTGAATTTCAATTTATTATGCAAATATCTTTGTGAAATTAAATGTAAGAATATACTGAGTGGTTATAAAATAAGTATCTCTATTTGGAGCTGTCATTGCTTGAAAGAATAACCCAAACGAAGCCAATTTAAGAAGAGAGAAGAATGGAACAAGGATAAAAAAAAAAATAGTTTAAAAATTGCCAACAGAGGGCACTATAAAATTAGACTATAAACGAAAAAATAATTAAGATGCAGAAACTGATGGCATACTAGTATTTATTGTAAAATGTCACAGTTAATGTGGTTATGCTATCACATGGCATCAATGATCCAGTTCAGGTTCCACAATATTACACATTGCAACGCCTTGTAATTTTTTACTATTTTTTATTTTCTTGTTCCGTTCTTCTCCTTCTTCAATAGTGTGTACAAATTTTGGTTTCATTTGGGTTACTCCTTCAAGCTAATGACAGCTCCAAATAGAGATACTTAATGTACATTAGTTTATCATTTGATTTTTTTCATTAACTTCATGTGTTAAATTGCAGTTGTTTTCATGATTTGTATCCTCAAATTTATAAATAATTCTTATAATTTAGTATCTTTATTGGCACAATTATTTTAATTGAGAATGAATTTTATTTTGGAATTGATATTATGCTTTTCTAACAAATACAACAATTATTTTTCATTCTTTAAAAAATTAATTACAATACTGTTTTAACACTGTTTCCAGAGTAATATTAAATAACTTTGATAAAGCATGCCACCATCAATGCAGAAATAGCATAGCAATCTAATTAACAGTAACTTTGTTCCTTATGACATTTTAAAATAATTAATGGAAAATTAACAGGTGTTAATGTAATGTTTTTTCTTATTTTCCATTAAATAGTTAACTCCTCTATAAACTAACAGTGATACAAAACAATAAAATCACCATTGTGAAGACATTACATTTCTTGGTATATTATTATTCATCATTGCCTCTTAAATATAATATTTTGTAACTTTTAATTACTCAAAATGTAAAATATACAGTATTTAATAAATATAATCAGAATTACAGCAACTTAAACAGTGTTTCTTATAGATATCAGAAATACCAAATGCAGAACCAGTTTAATATATGAAAACATTTAAACATTAATTTTTTTTACTTTTAATTTAATATAAAATTAAAATATTAACAAAAAATAAAAAATTTTCAGAATAAATATTTGATTTTCATTATTTGTTGAATTTTTGCATTTTATGATAAATTACTAAACTGCAACTTCACTATTAAAAAATAATGATATTCAAATTTAACTTATGAAAATAAAACTGACAAAGGTATTTCATTAATTTCTTCAAAATTTCTTTGTGTAGATTAAGTTTAGCTATCAACTGTGATCAACCAGTGATCATGTATAAAAACAGCACAAAAAACAATTTGTACAGTTCATTTCATATATCTTGGCCAGTCTATAAAGATGTGTAGTAGAAGGGACCAGTCTATTCACTTAGTGAAGGGAACAAATTGTCACATCTGTGACAAAGTCAAAATTTTCAAGGACAAGATGAGTTACCAAAAAGAAGTTCTTAAACTTTTTAAAATTTCCAGATCCTCAACCAGGTACTATGCTTGGCCTTGCCAAGATTTGTGAAAAGATCTAATTTTCACAGAAATATTAATTCTGTATTTTTCACAAAACTTTTTAAACTATCAACTATGGGTTAATAAACAACCACCAACAGCCAAAATAATCGAGCAGAAATCTTAACAATATTAATATTAGAATATATTATTTATTATCCTCTGAAATAACATGTGATCTTTTTCATTTCTGGTTGCAACATAATGATAAAAGTATAAGCAGCAAAGAATGAAGAAAGAATAAAAGAAATGTATATTTGTCAGGTCCAATATACATAGATAGTTGTAATTAATGAAATACAGGGTATCCTGTCAAGACCACATAAAACTCTGCAGAGTGAGAATCTCCACTTGGAGTACAGTGGAACCTTACTTAATGAGCACCTCTCATAACAAGTAATTCGTATAACGAGCAAAACAAATTTTTAAAAAATAACTCGCTTAACAAGCAATGAGGAGAGAGGAAGTCCCAGACTGTGCGCATGCTACAACAGTCCGTGTTTAGCAATTGTTCCACTAGCATTTTAGTATCGCTTGTGATCACATATTTTTCCAAGCTTGTGTTCAGACATATTACATATAAAAATCAACAACCACAGCCCGTTATATAATATACACGCCAAACAATATGCCAAATTCTTGGACTATGTAAACACTATAATTAATTTGACTAGAGGTAGGAAGTTATGCTGCCATCTTGTATTAAATTCCAAATTAAGTTCTAGAAATGTCTAAAGTAAAAATTAATTATTTATACAGTAATTATTTTGATTTTTTGTTTTTTGCAAATCGAATTCACATTTCAGGTTGGTTCATTCTGCACTAGAAGATGATGATGATTCATGCTCCTTAACAATGTATATTGTATAATTTTCTTTGAATAAACATTATACATGAAATATTAAAGTGTTTTTTTTTAGCATGGATCATATTTTGCATTAATTTATATGGGAAAAATTGTTTCACTTAATAAGTAAGATTCTGGAACAAATTAGGCTCGTTAAGCAATTCCACTGTATATAAAAAATGATCCAAGAACCATACCTCCATGACCCATAGTTTTTGAGAAAAATGCAAAAGAAAATGCATGAAATCACATCCGGTGCACAGAAAATAAGCTTTATTGGAAACACAAACATTATATTTGCATATGACATTATACATATATAGGAGGATGCTCAGAATGACCACTGTGCATATTGAGACATACATGTGTATGCTGTAGAATGGCTGACTGCACATGATCTTGGATTGCTTGTCTTTATGCTGTGTTCACTTTTGTGGAGAACATGATGCTGAATTGTGTGCAGTCAACCATTCTATAGCATGTGCATGCATGCCCAATATGCATGGTGGTCATTTTGAACATTCTCTTATGTAAGCATAATGTCATATGCAAGTACTGCTAGTCCAAATACTGTTAATCTGAATGTCTGTTTAATCCAAACATGTTTTGGTCAATGGAGAGGAAATTTTTTCTAACAAGAAGTCCACTTAGGGGTGTTCCCCCTTATTTTTCCTGAGTAAATCATGTAAATAAGGCTTCATTAAGCTTGTCAAACGTTGAGGGCCTTGCTGTTTGTCAATTTTCAACTGATTTTTCTGAAGTAAAGGCACAAAACTGCTCGATCTTTACACGATTTTTTTCCAGCCAGTTATTGTGGCCTTGCCCACTCCAAACTCTACTACCAATTTCGTTGCACTCTCACCCTTGTCCCAGCCTTTTCAAAACACCCAGTTTAAGTAAAAGTAATAAAAATTAACATGGCTGATGGTTATTTATGTTTAATAAAATACAATAAATATAAGTACAACTTTTAACAAAGATAAAACCTTTGCTTCAGTTATTTCCTTCCATTGATAGAAGGAAATGACTGAAGCAAAGGTTTATCTTTCAACATACACATTGTGTGTTTTCATTTCGTGGCCATTGTAGCAGCAGACTAAACTAAACTAAAATAATGTAGAGTGAAGAATATATTGAACATCCACAATTAATTAAGCATGCTAACTCACACAGTAGCATCAGTCAACTGATTGGAATCCTGGACTGTGTAATAAAAACGTTTTTTACAGTTAAAATAATTTTAAGGTAAACAATGAAGACAGGTTGCCACTTCAAAATTACAAAACTTGTTTTTGTTAACTGTTTTTGTCCTCTTTTGAGTACAACTCAATTGAAATAAAGGATGGGACACTGACATCATTGATTGTGCTGGATCTGTATATATCAGATCTGTTTTACTGCTTGCTTCTGCATTATTTCAATTATTTGGCTAATTCGAAAATCTGCTAATTCAAACAAGGTTAGGTCCCAATTAGTTCGGACTAGCAGAACTCTACTGTACTCCATGCAAAAATCTTCACTCTGCAAAGTTTATGTGGTATTGATGGGATACCTTGTATAATTAACACATTAAAACAGGTATGTAAGTAAGCATAAACTTGGTAAGTGTTAAGCTGTTATGCATAATTATTTATCTACTTTAATACAACCTTTTACAACTAAACATTATTACTTTAAATATTTAAAATAATACTGTTTAGTTGTAAAAATCCAATTATCTTAAAATCTTGGCAATAAGCTGCAGCCTATATATGAGTGTGTCTTATAACAGAAGGGCAGCCTGTAGCCAAAGTTTTAAGGTAAAATAATACATAATTAAAAAGGTCTCCAACCTAAGGCCCTTAAGCCAAATATGGTCCCAAAACATATTTACCTGGTCTACACAGTTTATCATCACTAATATTTGAACTAGTTCAAATAATATAAAGTTTTGAAAAGTCAACTAGAATTTGTAGACCTTGCTGCAAATGATTTTTATAATAATACATTTAAAGAAGGGAGTTTGTTAGATATTTACAAATCTGCCAGAAAAGAACTTAAAAGTTTTAAGAAGTTTGCATGGAGAATATTTCTAGAGTTCCACCAATTTTAGACAACATAGCTGCAGTTACAAACTTGACATTGATTTATATCCATTGTTATTCAGAAATAAAAAAATCTTAATCTTTGAATATATATTTCATTCTTAGCCCCAGACCCCAGACTTTTTTTTTACAGTTTATAGGGACCTTCTCAGAAAAAGGTTTGAGACCTTTGCATAATTGCATCTAAATTATCCTAACATTACAATTACAGAATAAAATTAATAAAAAAAACTAAACTTACCTCTAAATCCTCCACTTTAATATCATCACTTAAGGATGATCTTCTGTGAACAACAGAATGAATATGTTTCTCAATAACCATATTGTTAGGTATATTCATTCCATTTTCCACATGTGAACAATCAGTAATAATTTTATAATTTTCAGGTATGGACATATCTGTAGTCTTTTCATCACTATGTTCATTGTGTGACACTGAAAATACTTTACAGTCTTGTATTTTATCAAAACTATTAGACTGATTACAGAATGAACTAATACTTTCTTGTTTTCGTTTAGTGGTAGTAAAAGAGGCCATTGCTTTACTGGACGTTTCTTCAATGGAATAACTAGTTTGCGTAACAGAACTTGATATTATATTTTGGTTGTCCTCATAACATATAGATGATGTTGGTGAGCGACTTAATTTACTTTTGCTACAAAATGGGTTAATGTTCTCGTCAAAATCAAATCTGTATCCTGTTTTTGGAGTCTGTATATTATCTTCTGCCATTTCAAGCAATATAATATAAATAAATATTTCTAATCTTTTTTTGATAATTTCTGAAAAAGAAAACATCAAAGTTAATTAAACTAAAGTCAAATAGGATTTTTAAAAATTTACATAAAAAATTAGTAATTCTAAACAATTTAAATAAATAAAATTTAATAATATCTAATATGTAATTTTATATAAACAAGAAAATTTACTTTATTTTGAAACACAGTCATTCTGCCTTAAATAAAACACTATTAATTAAAGCAAATTATCACAATGTTAATTTTCATATGACAAAGCAGACCAAACCTTTACCAGACTTCATTAAACCAAACTGTAAATTAATTTCACAACCCCCAAAAAATAACCTACTTCCAATAATAATTTTATTATTCACGTTGAAAAGTGTAAAAGCAAAGAGGTACTATAATAAATGTTTTCTTTTGAATAGAATAATTTTATTCTTCTAGTAAGCAAAGATGAGTTCGACCTCCAGTTGTAGAGCAATTCAAACATCTGGTTTTAGCGGACCATTCTATCATACTCAGAAAATAGAAATTAAAGTTTAAAGATGCTCATTCCTTTAAATGGATGAACATCCATGCAAACATGTTAGTTTGCATATCAGGAGTGCATACACTAATGCTACGTTTGGCTACTTTGTGCCAAATTTAGTTTTTTTTTTTTTACTCTTTCAGCACCAAAAATTATTTTCTACTTTTCAAATAATCTTCAGCCAATAAAAAAATCAAAGATTTCTTTTAGCTTTTGTTTTGTTTAACCACTCTGAATAACTGCTTCACACAAACTAAACAGCAAATACCATCTGTTTTTTCAATTTAAAAATCATTTAGATCAGTAATTTATTTTTGTAAATAAATTTAATTTATTTAATTTCAGTAAATTAATTAAAAATATTATAATTTAGAGATTTCAATTGCTTATTAATCCTTAACCCTGTAAATTGTTAATACTTAGCTTCCAGGACGTTCCAAATTATGTTTAACCTGAAGAACGCTATTTAAGATAGCTGAAAACGTTAGTTTAATTTAATTAAAAATTTGCTAGAAAAAGCAAGAAAGGTGTTTTGCAATAATTTATATAAGTTCTAACTTACTGCACATAGAATTGAATAACATTTTGAATTTTATCTTTATAAGCATAAAATTAAGCTGTAAAACTGAATTAGTTCTATGGGAACCCCCATAAACTTTGACCTATCAACCCAAAGCACCTCAATGATAGCAAGAAAGGCTTAAGTTTAAAATTTGAGCTTTCTAAACTCAGTAGTTTTTCTCTATGAGTGTCTGCAGTGTGGACAAAGAAAATGGAGGAGGAGAAGAAAATACAGCTTTTTTGGCAATTTTTGCACTTTTTAATTGCTTATATTATATTATATATTACATTTTGGCAACTGCTTTATAGAAATGCTTGAAATTTTGCACACTACCTAAGAAAAGAATTTTCTTTTGAACAAGATATTTAGAATTACTTCAGGTGTTTGGGGACAGAGAAATCAACCTCCAAAAATTGGCAACTTTGATTCCTGTAGTATATGTAGTCAGTCAGTGACTTTTTTACTTGATGTGGAATCACTTCCATGACTCATGATTGTAATTTCTGATAGTATGTTTTCCTCAATATTATGCAGTTTTTTTCTAATCTCTAAAATGAAATTTTTATAATTAAATTTTCACTTTTTTTTACATTTCCTTTCAATTTAACTTTTAATATTTTTTAATGTTTGTTAATTGTTTACAATTAAGCAATTATTTAATTACATCATTGACATTTATTTTATTTTATAATGCCAGATGATAGGGGGAAAAAAACAGACAAACCAGCAATTATTATTTATTGCATATCATTGTATTGTTATTCACTTCCTCTAATAATAAAATATATTTACTTTGTTTTAAATTATTATAAATTATGTGAACTGCAAATTAAGGTATCAGGCAATATTAATGTTTCTAAATTCACTTAAGTATATACATTATAGATAAGGTGAAATGATAAAAATAACTGCCTATTAAAACAATATGAGAAAATCATTAAAGACAATTGAATTAACAACATTCACAACTTCAGCTTTAGAAACAGCCATTCTGTAAATGAATTAGCAAAAGTTAGAACAATAACATCATTCTTGTTTAACTCATTCTACTTTATGAATGTACTTGTAGACTGTTTTATTCTTATATGTTCTTCAATTTTTCATATTTCTTTCCTTTTCCTTGAAAATCAAAAATATGAATTTCTGGTTGGATTTGCAATTTGTGGATAGAGATAACATGACAGATAATATTATAGCTAGTGTTCCAAATAGTTATTCATATAAACTTATAGAAAAAAACAAATCAGTGAACAAATCAAACCAGGTGAAAAAACAAATAAAATAAAGAATGAAAAATTTAAAATATAAGTGATGACTAGATGGCAGCTTATTGCTCTGGAGGACCTGGGACTGAATCTGAGTGAGTTGAAAACCACAGGAATTTTTCAGAGGGTAGTCTATCACAGATATGTTGAACTCCATCTCTCACCACCTGGCTACCCCAATGTGCTAACCCTGGCTAAGCTTGATAAAAAGGCCCTATTGATGATAAACAGGTCAGAAAAAGTAAAAACAAAAATTATTTTCATTTCTGATTGGTTCACTATATGAAAATTTTAAAGTCCATTCATTTTTGTTATGATGCATCAAAAATTAAGGAATTATCCAAACAAAAACATCTGAGATGTAAAAAATGGTACAATATTTTACATCTTGTACAAGTAAAAAATAATGTCACTTTAGATGACAGTCAAATTTTATTCTAAAAAGTTTTTCCACAAGAATTTTATTATTGTTTCCCATATTTTGTTTTAAAGTGCCAAGCTTATCTTTATCAAAGAAAATCTGAGAGAAAAAATTTGACTGTCATCTAAATTGTCATAATTTTTCACATCTCAGATGTTCTTGTTTGAATATCAATTCTTTTTGGTTAATAATTGTGTTATTATCCCAAGACCTAAGACAATGATATACAGTTCAATTGGTGCTCAGTGACAATGTTTTCAATACACTGCTACTGAAATTGCTGTAAAAAGTTTTAATTTACATAAATCTGACCTTTTGTTATTCTGGATAACATTCTGAATAAAAACCAGTCATTTCAATGCAATTTTATCCTTAGAAGAATAAATTTTAAGTGATAAACGTAAAACAGCTATATAAGAACTTTGACCTATCGACCTGAAAGTTTCACAAATGCCTCACAGAGGCTTCAGTTTAAAATTTGAGCTTTCTAGTTTTTCTTTTTATGTAAAAACATCTGCATGAAAAATGAAGAAGAAAACAGCTTTTTTTTTTAATGCAATTTTTGCACATTTTGATTGCTCATATTTTGGCAACCCCTTTATATAAAATTCTGAAATTGTGCACACTACCTAAGGAAACAATTATCTTTCAAATGATATATTCAGAATTACTGTAGGTTTTTGGGGCAGAGAAATTGATCCCCAAAAATTGGCAACTCTAATTTCTGTATACATAGACAGTCTATTATTTTTTCACTTGGTGCAGTCACTATCTTGACTCTCAATCTAACAATATCATACAAATTAATTTAGAGATATAAAAGCAGTTTTCTTAATTTCTGAATTTTTTCTATATAAAGTGATACTACTGAATGATATAATTTTTATAAATTATTCTCATTGACTAGCAAAATAAAATTAAATATTGCAAATATTATACAAACCCATCATAGGATTGTGACTAATTTTTTTTTCAACAGTTATTTTTACAAAAAATAAAAAAATTATACATTTTCATATTTGAATATAAGAATTTCATAAAACTTTTCAAAATTTATGTACTGATACTAACGTTTTAAATATACAACAACAACAACATCGAGTGAAGTTGGATATGGGCCGCACTCAGTGGTATAGCCCAAGACCAGAAGCGGGAGGAAGATGTAAAGTTATGTATGAAGAAGTTAGGGTGAAGGGGAAGTACAGGAGATAGGATAGAGGGAAAAAGACCTTAGTCTATGAGACGCAAGGGCATCCGCATCGCATACATTTAAGACAAATACATACATTACATTAATTACAGTTGTATACAGTTAGTACAGTAGATAAACAGACAAAGGGTGCTGATGAGTTTGTAGACAGATAATACATTGTAGTTACATTGCAGAAGATTCGCATAAAATCCAGAGAGTACAATTTCAGAGTGGAAAGTTACACAAGTAATACTTTCACATAATTCGGTGACTTTGTTGAAAAATTTTTGGAGTTGGTAAACAGTGACGAAAAGATTTACATTGAATAACAGGGAACACAATTACTGTTACCATGATAGTTACAGGGATGCAAGCATAGATTACACCGTGCTAGTCCAATATCTTGATGTCTTGAATGAATTTCTTTAAGGCTTTGGAGATGTATTTGTTTTCCATGAAGACCCTAAGCTCACAGGGCCAGAGCTCTTTCCTGTTATGTATTTCATTTATGAGACCCTTTCGTTGGCTTGAGTAGATAGGGCAGTGAAAGAGAATGTGCAGTGGGTCTTCCTGTTCTTTGAGAGGGCATGGGCAGAGCCCATCAGTTTTATTCAGAAACCTTTTCAGGTAACTGCGAAAGTTTCCATGCCCTGTATACATCTGTGTAGTTGAGTAGGAGGGAATCAGATGTTTATAACTGTGACGTTGTTTCACACTAGGAATAAATTGGTGGGTGAGCCTACCTGTTGTACCAGTGTCCCATCTGTCTTGCCAACTTTTCCAGGAATATTCCCTGATATAATTGTGAAGCCTTTTAGGGGGAATAGCACTGAAAGAATAGTGAGTGATCCTTTCTGGAGCGATGCGGGCCAGCAAGTCTGCTCTCTTGTTGCCAGCGTTACCAGCATGGCCTTTCACCCAGTGGAGCCTGATGTTGATGATACAGCATAAATGAATTATAATGTTGATGCTTTGGTAGACCATAGGGTAGTTGCTGTTCAGTTTTTTCAGTTGCTGGAGTGCGACACAACTGTCACTGAGAATGGTGACGTTCTTTGTGTTGTGATGGT